GATCAAAAAACAAGATCCTCTCTATTCGAGCATATTTATCTATGCACTAATGTTAACATATTATTCATCGACTTTGATTATATAATTTTTTTCTGATTGCTTCTGTAGTTATAATTACAACCTTAAGTAACGGCTATCTTGCCAATTTTTCAGTAAATATGATTATAAATATATCATTCAGATTTAACGAACTGAATCGAATTTATGAATCGTATTTTTCTTCTACCTTTAATTGACGAGCTCTATTCACAATGTTTTGATTTATTTCTGTGTGAAGAAACATTATATGCTGGCTCACCAATACAATGATGGATACGTGACGCATTAAAGTTGCTCGTTTTTGTATTGCTTTATAATACAAAATATCGATAGATTAGTGCGAGGAGTATCCATTCATTCTGTTCTTGTTTTTTTGCTTTTTGTTTATAATTATGAACCACGTGTGATGATGATACGCTAATTCAAGCATAGCTTTGCATCAGTGCAAAACTTGTTGTCGGCGAAGATGACAACTGTCTCACACATTCATATGGACATGGAAACGTTAATATGTCCGATTAGTCTTCAAGTTTTTCGTGATCCTGTGAGAGCCACTGATGGCCATGTCTACGAAAGAGCAGCAATCATACGATGGATTGCTGAGAATGGGACGAGTCCACTGACTCGAGAGCCTTTGAAAATTGACGAACTACGTGCTGATGATCACTTACGATATCTAGCTGCACAACGACGAATTTCTATAGTATCTTATCTTGGACCTGAGGATTCTGTGATTCTTTCTTCTGCTAATGAACGGTCCATCAACCAAACCGATCATTCAGCTAATCAAACTGAAGCAGAGTCCAATGTAAGAAGATCAAAAGCTTTCTGTGAAACATGCAAATCTGTGATGTGCTTTCTGGCAGTAATTATCGTTATATGTGTAATCGCACTTGTGGTCGGACTCACTGCCAAGTCACGTGATTCGTCTCATTCTGGCATCACTACGACCACATCATATTGACTTGACTTCTACTTCATGTAAGTTGATTATGTTTCCAAAAATTCTTCAATTTATGTCAATATGAGCCAGTACTCAGCATGTCACAATATCAATGTGACTCGATTCAATTCGGGATCGAGTCTAATTGAGCACATATATAATAATGATTTTCTGCTACCTTCGAGACTCTTATAACAGTTATAGTCTCAAAATATAGGTTCTGACAGGATACATCATGATCACGAAAAACGACACACATATTTTTGCTTTGTTCTTTCCTATTGATTTTCACTGTTTTGCTCAGTACGTCTATTCAAAATCATGAATAATGTCATTAAATTGATCCTAACAATTGATCTTTTAATTAAGTTAAAAGCATATAGCTGAATAGTGCTAAATACAATGTTGGATAGAAATCTAAGTACTATCTTTTATTGATATCGTTGATAAACGATTGAGAACAAACTGAGACGGAAAGTAAGTCATTGAATTTCGAGTACGCTTTTTTTCAATATGTTTTCATTTATTATGTCACATTCATATTTCAAATCAATGGAACTTTACGATTAATATTAATCACTTTTGACAGAAAAGTTTCATTGGGTCTCAGTAGAACTGATACATTGATATAAAAGCGAATGATTAGTAAACTTTCATAATATTGAGAATCTTCAATTAATCTATGTTCTGCATACCTTTACTCCCGATTACATACTAGTTAATATATTAAGGGTTCACAAGACTCTATTATTGTATTCTTAAAAGTTGATTGCGAATGTAGTAAACAACACATATTCGTTTGTTTGTACGCGAACAAATACTAAGGATGTTCTTAAGTACAAGAAAAGCGATAAACTTCTATCTTATTCCTTCTTTTCATTGAACGATAAACTGAATTCTAGATGAAAATATGAAACTTATGTAAGATATTATTTTGGAAGTAATGAACATTCGAAGTTTTCCACCTGTAAAAGACGCATGGAATTCTAACTATTCTTCTATTTTGTTTACATAGCGTTTCTACCGCTATCTACTTGAACATATTCGTCTATACTAACTATATCTATTCCGACTTATCGTTGTTCGAGATGTTCACCATCGTCACGTTATTATTCAACTCTGTACTGGATTATTGCTACAAGTGGATCTTATAACTGTATGATAGACAGCCGTTTTTCTGTTTATACCGATTACTACGTTAGCTGATTCATTTCATCTAGCTCAATATAGAATCTATTTGCACAAAGCAGTGATGATATTTCCTACTTATATCTTGAGTCTCATCACGTCTACATTATAGTCATTATGAGTGTATTCGATTATGTGACCGGTACATTCTCAATTAAAATAGATGGTCTAAATAATTTTCCATTGAATTTTATTACGCTTCAATACTCAATAAACGCAACTACACTCATAAACATTATCGAAAAGACAAACTATCGATTACTTGGGTTTTAGTCAACTATGAATGATAATTATGCACAAATTTCAAAGTGCACTAAGAGCTCATATAAGTAGTTTGCTTATGTGGATATCAATCTGTGTGAGATGTTTTGCTGCTTAGTGATTTTTGTTTCAGTTAATTGACTAAATAGTCTGCATTAGTTTTGCTCAATGTAATGTCACGTTGAGTTGTACTTCAGAGTATGCAACAACTGATATTAATATAATAAAATAGTGTAAGATAGAGTTCACCAAGTCAAGCCAGACTTGATTTATGAAACATATTTTGACTCTCCTGAATGGAAGCGACTTGGCTTGAAAGTCGAAAAAGTTTTCACTTTCTTAGTTCTAGTATGGAAGAAAAGCGAACATCAATCAGTGATACAATCAACTGATATTAGACTTCTGAGATTTTCAACAATTGTAAGAATGATTTTAGATCGTTTTTATTGATTGTAAATGGAATTAGATTTGTATAGCTTGTAATGAACTATATTATACACAATTATCATTTTGAGAGAATTTCACTAGCTGTTACACTTGTATCAAAAGTATTCCATGAACGACAATGAGCTACTGGTTCTTTATGAGGAAGAAAAGAATAGATGATTCATCTGAGCTAGAATAGGTTAACTTAAAACGATGAATACTTGGCACATTGAAAAAACAAACGACACTATCTTCCTTTCTGAACTCCGAAGAATCTACGTTCATATCGTTTTCCTTTTAGTAGATTTCAAACGATTGTTATTCTATTGTACTGTTGTGCATCTACAATTACATGTGTAGAGATATTATATTTTATTCTATTGGACTACTATAAATAGAAAAATAACATATGACGTTTTAATTATTTAATTTTTCCGTACAATCTGGTAACTATTTGTAATTTTATCTTGTTTGATAGTAGTAAACACCTATTTGTCTGAAAAAGATAGAAATACAAATAAGGGAAATTGTAAAATCACCTTGTCATCATCACCTTTATATTAGTTAATTTAAAACATTTAAGCAACTTCGAACATATAAATACAACACAATATAAACACAGAACGTTATTCTAATATCTTATTTTGTGATATTTTGTAAGTAGTGGTAAATGTAACTTTAATTCCAGCTATGTCTTTTTTCCCTTACAAATGTTGCCTGTCTAAAACTGATTATACTTGAATACAAATTTTGCTATTCATTATTATTTTCTCATTTAAGCAGATAGTAGAAATATTCAAAAAAGCGATAAATCATTATTGTTGACATATTTATTTACAAAGCGTTTATTTTACTGAAAGTTTGAGTATCATATACAATAATTCGATTATAAGCATTCATGATTTGGTAATCAGAAATCTTGAAGGTCAGGTCACAAATCATTGTTTTTGGTCGAACAGTTGAGCGTTGTGGTCGTTTTATTTTAATAATTAATCGCGGCAGTTATTACATAAACCATTATTTCAAAACCATTGATTTGATATAGACACTATTTTTCTGTGAAAGATAATATTAATCAATATTTACTGAGCACTTGCTCATAATAAAATGTTTTTTTTTATGAATCAACGTTTTGTGTCATTCTTTCAGTGATATATCTTGAACTTCAATTAATCGTTTTAATTCTTTTATTGTAATGTTATTTGAACATATGACTGTAAGTATAGTGTCATCATTCATCAAATAGTTCAAAAATTGATAGAGAAACCCTTCACTCAACTATCAGTATGCGACGAAAACTTGATACGTTCAGAAACAGAACTTCAGTCGATAATAATGAAGGATCAATAACATCATTTTGAGTCCATCAACTGCGAAAACCAAATGAATTATTTCTACAGTCGAATTTTATAGAGAACCATGCCATTTTGTGTTACTTTCAACATAAATCCATGTCATAAATTATTCACTAATGTTAATGAAAAAAGTTCTTTAACTCTGTTGGATTGAGCAATATAATACTTTTTTCCTTTTCAAATTTCTTGACCATAATACTACCATTAGTGATAAAAATTGAATTCTTAAAATGCTGCTAATATTTCGAAAAAAAAAACAAAGCACAGCAAAGATTGTTTGTAAGTTTCTTTCGTCCTCGCCAATGTGAAAAAGTTCATTTTACTTCATTAATTTCTGTATGCTTTCAAAAATCTATCTCTTATTGGCTCTATGTAGCTCTTTACAAAAATTGTATCTTCAACCATATTGAACAGGTACTATAAGAATGAACATCGTATGTTCATTCGCATATTCACTCCATACTCTCAAAATTTTAATTGAAATAGACACAAAACATTGATTTTATTGGCTTTTTTCCTTTGGGAAAAACAATCCATTTTTTACGAATTTTTATGAGATATTGACATAAAACTTTAGTCATAATTTTCTTCCTGCTTTATTGTGTTTTTTTTTGCACAGACGGCATACTTTAGTTACTGAAAAGCATAATAAGCTGATGATCAATGCTATTTTAAAGGTTTCTTTTGTGTATGTATATTATCTGAATTACATAGTTCAAGTTCAGTTAATTAATACATTCCATGAATTCTGCAAAATAGTACAAAACCTTTCTGACAGTATGCTAACTTTAAATGGCGACTCTTGAGAATAATCTCTGTAACATAAGTCGAAGAACAATATCTCTATCCGGCAAAGAAGCTGCTTCAACTGAATGTCGACACAATGGGCAAGTATTTTTAGCTCTTAGCACATCGAGCATACATGCATAATGAAACATATGTTGACCTTCACATGGCCAACAAGCATAAGTTTGACCAATTTCGAATTTTTCCAAGCATACACTGCATGTAGATGCAAGAACATCAGTTTGGAACGATGTGACTTGATGATGATTATTCAAACGAAAACGTGCTATGTACCGAGGCGACGCTGATGTGACTCGTTCCCACATTCTTTCAAGATCATTTCCATAATGTACTGTTTGCCGCCATTCTTCTTCCCGGACAAGAGCCTCGAATCGAATCGCTTCCAATTCTTTTTGTGCTTGAATACGGGCTTGTTCACGAGCTAGACGTTTTTCGTCATACCAACTAAAAAATCGACACACACATTAGTTTTTCAACAGATATATATACTTCCTTTTTGCTGACTTACCGCTGTTGATACTCTTTATTAATTAGCATCATGTGATTATGAAGCCATTCAGCCTTATTGTCACCCATTGTACGGTTTATAGCCGGAAATGGAATCCATTTTTGTTTCTTATTATCGTTGATGAGAAAACCATCGTTACCCACTTTTATGATTGACGAAATCGAAATGCCAATAAATGGTAACTGAGTGTAGAACTGACGCAGCATGCTGGGGTTATGTTCATTCAAATCAATATTGAACATGATTAAGTATTGTTGATCCAGAATAAGAAACAATCGATGATCATAGACATTTTCATTCGATGTTGCTAATAGATGATTGTTAAGTACTTGAAGTGATTCTATACCTAATTCTTTCAAATGTAATTGAACATTGGATTTAATGACAAGTTTAGAAGGAAAAACACGATGTAAAAGATAAAGTATCAAATAGAAGAGAGATTTGACGAATAGCCAAACAAATATAATACCACCGAGAATAAAGGCAGTGTTAGGATAATACGGATAAGAAGCATCGAATCCCACGTCGTATGAACGAAATTGGTAGACTATACGAGAGTACGGAAAGTAGGCGAGTTCACCTTTAGGTCGATAAAGATATCCAATCAGTATGCCACAGGACGGAATGACGATTGCATTGAAGAAAGTTTCATTTTGCTTATAACGCTCGTCGATCACTCTTAAATACAATGATTTTTCGAACCATGTACTATATTCTCTCAATGGAACTTGTAAATGTCGTACAATACAGCGTAACGTACGTATTGTGAAAGCTTGAAACCGATATGAGTGATAAATACGGCTATGACGTTGTTTTAGACCGGGAAATTTTATATAGAGTCGATTTGGATAAAGACTATTGACGATAATCGACTCTCTGACTCGATACAACGAAGCTAATATATTTTCACGAGTGTATTCATCATCATAAATGTATAAAGATTGACCTTGGTTCGATTCCACATTACCTTCGCCAATTTCGACTTGAAGATATTCCTCATTTAATGAAAACCAACGAGATCGAGTCGATGAAAGATTTTGATTGTAGATTTGTAGATAAGTAACAAATTGATCATGATTCAAATGGAAGGGACCCACAAGTGCGTTATATATTTGAATATGAATTCGAAAAAAAAAGATTGAAAGAGCACATACAATTAAGTAGATAAATGTGTGCTTGAAATGTTGAATTCGTTCATGTTGTTCTTCTCTATCATGCTGTGCATGAATGCGTTCGAAGAGTGCTATAAGAAGAGATGATTTATGATGGATTGTTTTGGCAAGTTGCTTCTGATTGCATCGAGCTCGTCGATGCATCGACTAAAATTTTAAAAAAATACCTGCCTACTATATGAATAAAGAAAGAAATGCATTTTCTTTTATTGTCAGGTCGTCTGAAACACGTTCGTGCCGATAAAAAATAGATGTTTGCGTTCTCAAGTGCACCTATTACGTAGACGTGACAGAAAGAATGATTCACAAAATTTATTTTGAAGCACGAAAAGGTGTCTAAAAGTTGGAAAAAATCAAGCAAAAATATTATTGGATCATTTAGCCTAATATATTTGGTGAAATAACAATATGCACAGCGGTCAGAATATTTCTTGTTGAGATCATACTCTCAAAGATACTTGGCAATAAAATAGCTAGAAGTAAAAATTAATGAAAATGTTTGACTAGACTAATTACAGGATCCGATCGTTGTATTCCGTTAGGCATGTAATTCCGACTTTTTGAGTTTGACGTTATTACAATTCAACTTTGTTTTTGATCGAGGACGATGAAATGCCCATGATGACAATAGCATATCTATATCGAACTCTGAATTTTAAGACTGTTCGCTGTCTGCTTATTAATCATCTACCTGAATTGTTGTACAAATTGATAAAGATATGTTGATTGTTTCTCCAAAAATCTTTCGAATGAGATAACACATTAAAGAAAGATCTCATCAAATTATTTGTTGTAATAGTTGTCTTGCGCTTCTCTTTTGTCATAATGACATATGTTATCGATTCCTTTTCTGATTTCAGTGTGAAGCCTAATATTACATTTTAATGCAGATTATTTTGCATAGGTACATTCAAAATAAAAATATGAGTCTCTATAGCAAAGATGCAACTATTCGAAAGAAACAAATTAATATGGTTTTTTTCGTGATCACTAGTAATCAAAGTCCAATATCACAAAGAATACTAATGGGCTATAGGTCAGTCATCAGAGATTAAAATAAGTGAGCAGTATTTTTATTGTCTTAATCATTCGTACTCGCAATGAATCAAATTAGATCTTTCCAGACATTGATTATCAATCACTTTATGTATACCCTACGACAACGATCGATTTCATATTTCATCGAATATCGAAACAAAGGATCGTACAGGAAATTCGACCGCATAGTTTATTCTTCACATGTAAAAGACGGGATTTCATTGCTTTCAGTATGGTTGTACGTTTGATGCTTTCAACAAACAGTTCAACTTGTCTTGTTATTATTATTTTCAAAAATATATCTTGATCCATTTATTTTGTTTCGTGTTGAGAATGAATCATTTAACTTTGTTTGTGAGTTCATTTTTTTCATTTTTTAGTACTGTCGTTTCCCTGATAGATCGATCTCTTATTATGAGGCCAGTTTTTAGATAGGAAAAGTAAGATTAGAGGATAAAATTCATCTTTTCTTATCATGACTTTCGATAGAATCGATTAAATACTTCTCTAAATAGATTCAGTCAGAATTTCGAATGTGATCAGCCGACTCATCTAAGCCGTAAAATTTGTCGTCAAAAACCAGAAGCTAACTGGTTGACGTTACATGCCTCATTGATCACCGTATCATTTACCCGGCACTACCTGCTCCTTTTCACTCACAGTGATAAATGTATCATAATCGCAGAAACTGACCTTAATAAATCGCCCAACAGTCAGGTAAGAGGAATTATGAATTAGAAGCGTAGTTCAGCTCACTTTGAAGCTGAGAATGAATGATGATGATTATTGCAGAGTCGTAGATTTTACACGATTCTTTGCTTAGACTTGTTGGCTCGATGTTAGGTAATGATCGAAAGGAAATGGAAGAGTTCTTCTATCAATAAGAAAAGTATTTGAATGCGATTGTGAATGAAGAAAAGATCCATACACCCCTACAAAAAAAAAACATTTGGAACAATAATAGTTTCTTGTGGATTGGATAGTGAAAAACACTGCACACTTGCACTTACAGAACTACTCAAACGATCTACGCACAGTATGTTGATATAGTCCGAGAAATAAGCGCACATTACTCTTATCTAATATTATTCAATGATATTTTCGAGACTTATCAATCAAATAAGAACATTATTCTGATTTTTTCTCAACATGAATACTAAAATATATAGAACACCTAGAATCTATGAGTCATATTTTGTTCGACAGTCAGCCCAATAAAACACTACATAGCACAAAGAATTCCTTCATACTTTCTAGAGATCTGCTACCATTAACTAATAACATATTGTACACTCTAGATTGTTATCTTCCTCGTCACATTTTAGCTCATCTATCTGTTCAGTGTAAGCGCTTTCCTCCATGGACATATGCAGATTTACATACTATTGTCTGTTTCTCTCTCGTTTTTTGTCTTCTGTTGATGAATGCATTCTTTCGATGGAACATTGAAGCTATAAAAGGAAGTGTGCTGAATTGAAATAAGGACAGTAATTAGACGATAACAATTTTTGTTGATACAAGGTCTGTTAAATACATTGAAAGGTTTATTTTTTTTAACTGTTGACAATAAAGGTTTATTTAGATGTGAAAATTCATTCAAAAACATTTCTGATTACAATGAACTTTTCACAGTCATTTGATCTAGTGACTAATTTCTATCAGTGAATTTCGTTCAAGATATTATTCGATGAATCATCTATATATATATATTAGGTAGTAGATCAGTTATTCTATTCGATAGAAAAACGATAATCACGTTGTGTCCTGGATTATAGTTTCTTTTTTCTTCTATTATTTTTATTCTTACGAATCGACAAAATAATTTTATGTATGTGTTTTTGTTAGTCATTCAATCATTTCAAACATTTCGTCCATGACGACAACTATTATATCTTAACAAATACTGAATAGATAAATGTTTATATTTTTTGTTTTCTTGTTTAATTTGTTTTTAGAAATGCCTCAAATTGGTTCATGTACTGATTTAACATGTGATGAAGAAATAAAAGATTTGTATGAATGCCATTGCTGTTCATGTCTTGTTTGTTTAAATCATTTGATCGAGCATGTTGAAACAGCAAAACAACATAAAAAACGACTACATAGTCTTAGTAATGAATTAAACATAGTTACAACTACATTTAAATTAATTATTGAAGAAAAACAAGCTACTATTGAACGTGAAGAAAACTTGATTGAAGAAGCAAATAAATTTCTTGATGTATCCAATTGTTCAATAGATGAAATTCAAAATATTCTTGAACAAATTAATCAAGCAATTGAATCAAATCGTCCAAGTGAAAATTAATTGGATAATAGACTTTTATTTATTGAGTTTTTGTTTTTGTTTTTTCTTGTAGACGAAACGATTGTTAAAGTCGAAACTTCATTATTAGAAACAAAAAATTGTTCTTGTATTTGCAAATGTAATAATGAAAAAATAAACTCAAATGGTAAATCAAATTTTTCTATTATTTAATTTAAATTGAATTATAATAGATCAACCATTATCAAGAAATACTCGTTCAAAATCAAAGTATTTGATTTCAATTTCATGTTTTTTTTGTTTTAATTTTATCTATTTTTATTAGATCTATTGCTGATCTGAGTGCAGCGATAAATACAGGTATCTCATATAGCAAAGTTCCAAAAAGATTAATTTTTCTTTTTTTTTTGTATGTTTAGGTGTAGTAGAAAAATTGGGAACTCATAAAAGTAAGTTAATTTTTTTTAATTTATAAAGGAATAAGAAATATAGTTTAAGATGATCGATATTCAACGTTGACTAATCATGATTCTTTTGAAAATGTTTCACTTAAGTACGTTTTGCTTTTTTTTGTTAGAAATGATCTATACTTGTTTCTATTTGTTTCTTTTATTTAGTCAGACACAAAAATCAACTAAGGTAATATAATTATATTTCGACACTAATCATACACCACATAGAACAAGGAATCATTCTTCTACTCTACTACAGAAAACTGTGATTTTCTCTAGGTTGAAGTAGTTGTATTTATTTTTCTTTAGAATCTTATGTTTGGAATAATCCAGTCTATATATATATTATGTTTTACTGTATTTGTATCAACTTCTAACTGATAAAGGTTCTAATGAGACGTATATGGACACTTAGCAGACCTGATTCAAAATTTTTCTGTGCATATTTGAGATTATTAAGTTAACATTCTATGTTGATGTTTGATTCTTGACCTTCCAATTCACCCAGAGAGAAAAACGCGGCAAATTAGAAGGTAATCATTAGCTATAAATAAACTAAAAATACGGCATTTGATAGAGATTATGCAGAAAAAAGAAACTAACCAATCAACGAACTTCTAAGAGAATAATTATCTATTCGTAATTATTCTTTGTCGAACGTGTCAAACACACGTTTCTCATATCGTTGTTCTTGAAGTTCGTCAATGTTCAAATGAATTTACTATAAATGCAGTTTCGTATATTTAATTTAAAAAATTTATGAAGTGAGATGTTTTAATATATAAACTCCGCTTCTTCAAAGATTGTATTTTCAATTTTGATCAGTTTTGATATAAAAGACTTACTTTTCAGTTGAAGACTATACTACTTCATTAAGATTTCAGAAAAATTATCATTCTATATACTGTATTCTTTGTAATACTGTGTAGCTTGTCTATGTTCTAAAAGTATAACTAATATAGAATTTATCTTTCATGAAATCTGCATTCAAGTTTATATTTTAAAGTATTGATTATGAACTCACTTCACAATTCTTTATTGAGGTCTAAATGAGTTTGATTTTCGATGAAGTAAATGTTCTTATAGATATTTAAACATTCGTTTTATTTTTTCTAGGATCCAGATATTAGTGAAGAACAAAATAAAGCAGAAGCAATATCATGCAGTACTTACTTTGGTCAATGTCCATTAAAGTTTGATGGAGCATATGGTCTTACTAAAGCAAAACATTCCATTGATTTTTGTACGAATAGACGTTCGCGTCGAATCGGATTATATTGTCATTTTATGGGTAAACATCAGTTAAAAGCTGGTTGTGCTCGACGTTTAGTAGGAGCTATTGTCAAAAATAAAGATCCTATGATAACAAAATTATTTGATGAAAATGAAGATGTTATTAATCATTTTTATAAAATTTCATGTCCTTTTCATAATGGAATGATTAATTTATTTGGATGTAATAAGAAAACTATATCACATGTACCATGTCGATTTCGTTCAGTTATATTTAGTACATTGAAATTTCATTTAAAACATTATCATCATCTTTCTGGTGAATTAGCACAAGCATTAGTTAATTATTTTAAAGCAATTCATATGAACAATGATATTACTGTTACATAATTAATTCAATCAACATGATTAGGAGAAAAAAGAATCTTAAAATTGTTTTTGTTGATATTTATCTTATTTATTAGAAATTTTGTATTTATGAAAATAAAGAATTTAATAACTTAAAATAAATATTTGAATAATTCTTTGTTATGAATGTTTGGTTAGGTTCTTACAGTTTAAATTACTATGTTGACAAAAGAAAATAATGAGAGAACATATTCAACTGTTAGATGCCATTCGATTTCGTTTTATGGCTACGAGTAGATGTTGGTTGGTCTAATTCAAGCTTAATAGGATTCGAGTTTATGGCTTACTAATAAAAAGCCATAGCTATTTTAATGAAATCATTATTGAGAGTGAAGTATGTTCAGAAAACTCAAAACAAAGTGTTTCAACTTGGAATTTTCCCTATAAGCACGCTTCATAGTCATTAGAAAGTCCTAGAAGTTTCAACGAAAATAAACATGTCCTTCTCAAGATATTCACTATTCACACAAGCAACAGTTTACTATACTTGAACACAAAAATTGAGTCTACTTGGAAACCAAATGTATAGAGAAAGATATGTTTTTTTTTTCATTGAAACTTTCAAAGCTATCTAATGGCTATCACATGCGTATATAAACAAAATTTCAGATCAAAACTATTTGCTTTGCAGTTTTCGAGAATACTTTGCCTTGATCAATAATATCATTAAAACAATCGTGACTCTTTATTAATAAGCTGTAGATTTGAGACATTTTAAGCTTGACGTACCAGGGAAATCCATCGAGCAAGTCATTGTTTTGGTACAAGTGGGTGTCAGCAAGACTAAAAGAAGTCTGAAAGGGTTCATCCTCATATTCTTTTCTTCTTGAACTACGATTGTTTTCTTGTATTTTCTACCTCAGGTAAGGCATGTTTGAAAGCATCCATTTATGAAATTTCAATTTGTAACTTCCCACTTAGATACATCTTATGGTCGTTAGAGTGTTCTACAAATTTCAATTTCAAAGAATGTTTTCTTCTTGCAATATTGGATATCTAAAAACAATATATCACACAGAAAGTTCAGGACATTCTAATAACTATAAAATCTAACTGTGTTCAAAACTTCATCACTAGGTTCTTTTAAGCATGCCTCATCTGAGGCGGAAAATACGGAAAAGCGATCGTAACTCAAAAAGGACGACGTAGGATAGACGAAACTCTTTCAGACTTCTTCTCATCGTATTGAGCTCATCTCGTAGGCCAAAGATCGACATAATCTGTCCGTCCTCTTAGGAAGCGCTCCTCGTTAGTCTTACTGAGGCCTACTCATATCCATAATATGAAGCTGAAAGGTGTCCGACAGCTGGTTATGTTCCTTCAGAAGTCTAATCGTTCTTTCAAAAGAACTTAAAGTGAATATAATACTGAAACGAATGATGAAATAATAATGGATGATGATCGAACCGTTGTTCGCACAATCATACAACCCTGAAAAATATCTGTAAGCAGACAAGAATCCACGATGAAAAATGATGGTTTCTTCGTTTCCAATTGTGGCACCTCAATCATGACATAAAAACAATAGAAAAACGAGCTTCCAAAAAAACAATCAATTGAATATAATCAAATTTATGTCACCGTTTTTACTAATCACTAAAAAAAGATATAATATAAACATCATATGAAAGTTTAACAACCTGAACTTCAATGTGTCATGATAATGCCAAAAAATATGCATTTTTCACCTTTTCCTCTACAAAAGAATTTCTTCTTTGAAAAATGATTAGCCCATCAAAAGTCTATATTGTTAGTGTCTAAATCTGTGTCACCTGAAGCAGAGAAAAATACGTTGGTGAATAACACATTTTACACGTATAGACGAATACAAAATATAAAAAACTATCTTCACTTGGCGTTAGCATGATGCTTTTTCGCAACACATGTAAAAATGTGCTAAAAGTCAGCTTTTTAAAATCTTCATGCATATGTTCAAATGACATTTTTATTTGCTAACATGAAAACTAATAGTACAATAAAGTAAAAATCGATGGTTTTCTGTATGCTCTTTTAGCTACAATTTTTTTCTCGACATCAGAAATTGTGATTAGGAACAAAGAACGACTAATTCTCTTTTTTTTTTGTTTTGTTCATATCTACATGCGTTTTGTAAATGTTTCACTATTGCTTGAGTATATTCCATTTTCTTAATTTGAATTTATTCTATGTAAAAATTTACTTCGAAATTTGGTTAACACAGAATCGTTACAATTGTTCATTGTAATACGATAGTACAAAATTTATGTACGAGTCATTGACTTTCATTCTAAGAATAGATACAGAATCGTAGCATACCTATTTTAGATAATTATTTTTTGGAAACTTACCCGACCCAATCAAGTCTAAATTGAAATAAAACATGTCTTTTTAATAGCAATCGAGCTATTTTTATTTGTAAGCAGTAGTATTTATTTGTCACATATCGAATGATCAGTTTTTGCAGACCTAGTAGCATAAAAAATAAATAGTATTGGTTTTTTTTACTTTAATAACATAAGTGTTGTGCTAATGTTTAACATATTTCGCAAGGGATCTTATGCGCCTTTCCGGCACTTCTAGAAGATGACTCGCCAGAAAAATTTGACATTATCAGAAATAGATAAATTTTGATAAGTAGAGCAAAAGTTGTCTGAGAGTCGAAATTTTTATATGCTTTTCGGTAAGCAAAGTTGAAGTCACAAGGGAAAAATGCTTCTCTTATCGTTCCGTCGATTATTCAGTCATAATGCATCTGATAGACCTAAAGATTTTTTTATATTCCTCAGATCATTTTTAAAGATACATGGTTATCTGTTTTTTTAAATCAAGCTTTTCTTTATACCTTCGGACAAAAGCCAGCGTTAAATCGTTTTTGAAACAAAATAAAGTAGGCATCATAAATAATTTCTAGTATGCCTAGAAGAGAGTTTCAGTTCGGTTGAATGTATTATGGCTCAGAAAAGTGAATGATTCTTTACTTCTTTTTTTCCCAGGAAACTCTCTTTCTCAAAATCAGCAAAATACTATCTAAATTTTGATATTCTTCATAGAAGTGTTCCAAATTTTTCATTTTATCGGCTATTATAGCCTTAAAATAGACCTCATAGACAGAAGATACTTCGAAGCACAGATAGAGCAGAAAAAGACGAAAACGAAAAGTTTAGAACTTTTCGATCAAGAGAGAGAGACACCTGTAAAAAAGGTGCTTTAACATTTTTTTAATATTAAAACGACTATTTCGAATCAACAATAATTACATGTCAAATGTTTTTCGAAGCAATTTTTCTATATCTATTTGAATATTTTCTATTTGAAAGATGAATCCATCTAATCCGACTGTTTTTCTCTTTACATTCTTACTCATGATGATGCTGAATAGTACAAGTAGATGAAAATTATAATTCGATTAATCTTAAAAATAACACGACACAAATAAATAAACCAATAAAAGATTTAAAAATCAAATCCATGTTTGGAAATGTAGAAACTACTAGTATTTGATGTTTGATCTTTGTAATACAACTTTTACTAATCCGTAAGATAGCTAAATGTTTTCTTAATATCAGATTAAAGATTTAATCCTGAAAAATATTTATCATTGGTCTTAGTTGTAAGAGAGAGAATGTCAATATATTGCGAAACTTATGACCATAGTTTAAAATCCAACAACAAACGATTTCATATTGGCAATTATTTGAAATAGCTTAAGATAACATATTGCTAACTGTCTAAGAAGAGAAAAGAAAATAAGTGTAAATCCCAGATCGTTCTCGTGATATTATTGTGCGTAAAAGAAAAATAACAAAAAATGAAAGATATAAAACGTTGAAATATCATTCATCTTTAAGCTACTAAATTTCATTTGAATCGATTCAATGATCTGCAGCTATCTTTTCTTCTTTTCTCTCTTTTTATTTAATATCAATTTCGTTTCGTCAACTGTCTATTCTTGCAATCACAATGCTGAATGTGGATGTTCAAAAAATGATGTTGTAATAGACAAGATTGTTGGGGGTGAATCAGCAGCTAGCTCAAGTTGGGGATGGGCTGTATCTTTACAGAGGGATGGCAGCCATTTTTGTGGTGGTTCAATTATTTCACCATTACATATCATTACAGCTGCTCACTGTGTTCCGAATCCTACGACGGTAATCGGAATTGTAAATGTAGTTGCTAGTATAGATAAGCTGTCCGAATCATCATCGTCAAAAGCTCAAGTACGTTTTATTACTAATGTTTTTTCGCATCCGAACTATAATGATACATCGAAAGTGAATGATATTGCTGTTTTACGACTTGATGAACCATTGTACATTTCGTATGACGTAGGTACTGCTCGACTATGTATACCTCGCACTGTTTCAACAAATATACGTGATGATTATCCCATTCCTGGTTCATCATTGGTAGCAATTGGATGGGGTACATTGGCATCTGGAGATATATCAATACCAGATAATTTGCATCTTCAACAAGTGACTTTGAATGCAATGTCTTCAAACCATGAAATGTGTATACCTACAATCAATAATCAACAAGTTCAATTTTGTGCTGCTGTGATAGGTGGTGGAAAAGGTAAAAAAATGATCATGAGCTTTTAGTTGTAGACTATCTTATTATTGAATGATATTTTTTTCTGTAATCTATATAATTTTATTAGATACATGCCAAGGTGATTCAGGTGGCCCTTTAATGCACTTTGAGTCGGATAAACGTCAATGGGTATTAGCTGGAATAACAAGTTA